CCTGCTATTAGTTAGAGGACTTCAGTTGTTCTTTATGTTTTTATTTTATTTGTTTCTTCTTAGCCTTTGGCACTCTTTGTCATTTTCCACTAGTTGGTGGAAGAACGATTGTCAGAAATGAATTGCACATGAGGACGGCTTTTGTCCAACTTGTAAAGTGGGCTTGCTGTGAAGAATGCCACAGGTGGTTCTGAGTCCCTCTTTTCCTTTTAGTGAACTTTTATGTTGCAAATAGACCATCAGCAGGATTGTAATTGGACTGCCTTGCTACTAATTGTATTACCGGGAAATGTACTGCAAAGCTGTGTTAAGTGATTGCCAGTAAGTTAGTTTGTGGAGGTTTATTTAAAAAAACAGATTTAAAAACTGTGATATCTGGATTCCTTTATGAGTCCTACCTTTGTGAGTATATTTTACCTTCTGTTTCCAAGGAGCTGTTCAGCACAGTTCTTGTTTTATACAATTGTTTAAATTTTTGTTTGACTGAAGCGTGAGTGGTTAAAATGGTACTTTTTTAGACCACGTTGCAGAGTGTAGAGTAGACTAAGCACCAGCTGTTAGCAAATTGTCATCGTATGGAGTATGGTATTGAAGGTTTTTTTCCTGCAGTTTTTTTACCGGTGAAACTAATAAGTATGAAAACATAGTGTATATTATATCACCAGTTCCAAAATGAGTGGACTGGTACCAAGAGGCAAATATTTTATAGGTGTTCAGATTTTTAGCTTTTATAAGCATCTTCTATGTAATATATTGACTTGGGGAAACTCGGAGCAGACAAAACTAGTTTGGCTACTGATCTCTTTCTGCTCAGTTTTCCAGCTGTGGTTATTAAGGTGCAAAGAATTTACATGAGCATGGCATATTCTTAAGAGGCAAAACTTTTGGTCCCCTATGTTTTCAGTGTTCTTTGAGCCGCATAGTTCTTTTCACGTGAGGATTCTGTCCTGTTGCATGAACAACATTTCCTGAACAACAGTAAAGACCACACACAACAACAGACACCTGTGCTTCTGTAGAATAATTAAAATTAGATTAAGATCAATTCAGATAAATGCCGTTTATTATAGAATTTATGTCACTGAACCTACAAAAACCACGTTTGTGTAAGTTCAGACTTTGGGTGCCCAGATAGAAACTTCATAATACAAGGGGTGTGCTTCTATGACCTCAGAACCCTTTTTTCCCCTTGTCTTTTCACATGAAATCTTGGATTTTATGTGCTTTGCTCACAGAGCAAAGTTTCATTTTATCTCGTTGTCATGCATTTTTCATGGATTTTAAATGAAATTACCAGATACCCTTTTTGAACAAGTTGTATGCTATGAAGTTTTATCCCCTCTTTCTAATTGCTAATGAAAATAATTTTATTTCTCCCAAGCTGTTCTTGCTCTGCTCCCTCTTTGATGTTTTCTCTAGGCTTCACTGCCATTTGAGAGGATGAAGCAGATTCTACTGGAAAGCAAAAGTAGTAGATGGATTATCTTCATGTGACGTTTCTAGGCAATGTAAAGAGAAATACAACTTAATTGGGTGACTCTCTTTCTTTTTAGTCTTTAGGTTATGAAAGGTGAGGCACTGAAATTTGCCTTTATGCTTTTTCAGTATTCCAGTGCTCTCAGTTTTTAGTGTGGACAGAATTACAATGAAGAATCTGGTGAAGTCAGGCTTTCCTAACTTCCAGTTTGTTCTTCTGCCTGCTCTGAAACCTCTCAGAATGTTGTTAATTCAGTATTTATCAGTATCTCTGGGAACGTGAATTGCATGAGTAAACTGGAACCCTTCTGACAACTAGAATCAGAGGTACTTCTAATTAATGGAGAAAGGAATAAAATTTTACTACCCAGAACTGAATGGATGAACGCAGGTACAGGATAGCAATTCACTAAAATTAATCTTTACATTCACTTTCGACTATTCACAACTTAATTTTGTTTTTTATCGTAACAGTTTGGATTTAGATGGCGACATGAGAAAGAAGTAGTTTCAGGAAAAGGTAATGCTGTCTTTCATTTTATGTTACATTTCTCCTTGACTGTTGTGTTTCTTGCTGCTTTTTGACATTATAATTGTTTGACACCATCATACTGCATTTGGTAATGTAGAATTTCATGGACATGTCTTTTAGCTGCTTCTGTTCAAAAGCTCTCCATTACCTGATGAGTCTTTGCTACCTTTAATTAGTGTCCCAATACTTTTTCCTCAGAAGATCCTTTTCTTAACAGTTTCTCCAGTGTTGTTTTGCAAATTTCTAACTTTTTAGTTTGAGTTCCATGTGTAATGTCTGTTTCAGACTAAATTGTTTTTGAAAGCTTCCGTGAAAATGGTGGCCATGTCTCCTAAACCTGTTTCTAAACAGTAGCTCATTGTGACTGTTTCTGCATGTGAGTTCTTACAGATGTTTTATTGGGATCCCATTCCATGGCCTAGGGGCATGGACTTTTTCAAGTAACTGAACAGGCAAGAATATTATGTGGAAATATTGCTATTCCAGTAAGGGAAATATTCATATCCGTGTCCTGTTTTCAGAAGTCATGCATGCACATGCAAGAAAATTGAATGGAGTGATACTGTTGATCACTACGGTTCTGTAATTCTGTAACAAATTGCAAGAACTTAGAAATGCAACACTTGTTTTTTAAATTTTTGATACCGTGTTTCACAGGAATAAGTGTGAATATGAATGGATTTTTTCAAATCTATAAATACTTCTCAAAACTCCTAAAGATAGCAGTTGTTGTAGTCCTATGTTGCTTTCAGCACTAAGAATTATTTTAGCAGATAGCTAACTTTGATATGGTTATGTACTGTACGCAACACTTCAAGAAGATAACTGAAATTAAATGGGAAATGAGTAATTTATGAATAATTATGTTGTCATGGGGAGGAATTTCAAGCTGTATTATACTTTTACTATGTGCTAGTACATATTTAAAAATATGAGAGAAAGTGCAGAATTACATGTTTTAAAGCCTTTTTAATGAAATTCTAATGGAAAGTGTAAAGCTTATTTTAGAACAACTGGAACATAAGAATTGAGAAATAGTACCTTTCACCACTAAGGGGCGCAAGAATTCAGCGTAATCCAGTGTATTAGGTGTTTTCAAATACTCTTTGAAGTGGTCATTTAAGAAAAACCAAATCTTTAACTTTTTTTTTGCTTTTTTTAAAGTATAATTTAGTAATATAAATTGTTGATAATAAACTATAGTAAAGTATTAATAGGAAGCTTGTTCAGCTATCAGTGGTTGATAGTTTATGTTTGAAAAAAGAGAGCGCTAGCTTGTACCTTATTTAAGCTGTGAAAATAATAGGGGTGAGAACCAGTTGTATTATGGTTTGGAGTATGTTAAGAAGGAAAGAGAAGAATGGGTTACTGACATTTAGTTGCTTTGTTTTCCATGTCTTTGCCAGGTGATGGGGAAGGAGGAGGGTTAGGATGAGTGAAAGGAAAGGTATCATTTAAATTACTAATTGTCAATGCCAGATTTTTTTTTCTTCTCTTCTTTCCCACTCCAATCTTTTTTCATAAATGTCGTGAAAGAAGGTCATATTGAAGATCTCTGTTGTATCTCAATAAACATGAAATGTAGTCTTAATGACAGTTAATGGTGTAATATTTGTGTCCAGCCTTAGTAAAGGGTTCCACAAAATGGATGTCCTTAACTTAAGTTAATTTAGAATTCCTACTTTAAATTTTGTAAAATAGTGAATAGTAAGCACATGAGTGAAAATAAATCCTTAAAATGAAAAGCTTTAAGCTATTTCAAATATATATTTTACATGCCTTCCTAAGTACTTTTTCCTCTACTTTCAAAACACTAATAGCAGGGCATGGCGTTAAAATAAAAAATAAAAGGTACTTGAGGGAAAATGAGATCGTGGACAAGCTTTCAGTAGGAAGATAGGTAACAAGTTCATTTGATAGAAGTGAAATGGGGACTTCCAGCAATATGCAGAAAGAGGAAAGCTGAACATGTGGATATATTTGCTGGGTTTTACTTACCTATTTTTTTCTTTAGTGTTTTGATAGTAGATTCCGTAATAAAAATACGCAGGCTAGATATGCATTACTGGACAATTTAGGATTTAATATCTGCAAATTGATCTCCCTGTGTCTTTTCACTGTTTCACTGAACTAACATTTCACTTCTATGATAGTAATGTCTTTCTGAGCCTATTTTATATGTACATAAATATACATATAATATGCTTTGCCTCATCTGAGCAAAGGTTCTTCCCAATTTGTGTCCGTTTATTATTTCTCTGTAATTTCCTCCATGGAAAATATGCACACTATCAGTACCCAGGTTAGTGCATTGTGTGTCCACGTACCAGTTTGGTATGCCTGAGTTTTGATCAAAATCTTTTAAATTCAGTCTTTTGACTTTCCAGATTTCCTTAGTATATTTAATTTTCATTTAACTTTCATGTCTGTACTTGTATTTTCCACCTATTTTGCTTTACTGTGAGAAGCAGAAGGAACTAAGAGCTTTGGAAAGCAAAAATTTAACAACCAGGTTATAGGAGTTGCAATTCTGGAAATGAAGGCAGTAATTTTCTGGCAGATCATAGCAAGGTGACAAAACTCCAGACACAAACGTGATTTAGGATATACATTTTTCTTGCTGATTAAATTAGGTAACTGTCCACTCAGCACACTGGTTTCTGTGTCTTCTTTTCCTGGACATCTAACGCTGCATTTTATAGGCAACCCAGAGATTAGTTGGGAACTAGAGATTTCACTGTGGGCAAAGTCACATTTCAAGTACTGAACCATCTGATGCGTAGTTCCTTCTGACTCAGGTTCCCTGTCTGTAAATGGGGATTATAATGATCTCTTATTTCTTTGCAAAAATATATATTTGAAATGGTTTTATGACATTCAGCTATACTACAGTGTTAAATATTATGGAAAAAGCCTCAGGAAAGGTAGAATCCTGTATTCAAGGCAAGGTTTGTTGCAGGGTTTGTAACATGAAAGATGAGGATAAGAAAAGTCTGGTGCTTCTATACGTATATACAGTATGGAGCAGGGGTCTGTTGAGAAAAATACCATGATTTCAAATATTTAGACCATCATAAAATATGAGTAAGTGTATAAGGAGACAGAATTATGGTGGTATACACAGTCTAAGTTCTGGTTTACTCAACGGTTCATTGCGTGACTTAGCAGTCTTGAAGGCACCCTTCCAACTTCATTCTTGTCAACATATCCAGTCTCACATGCAAAATGTGAAATATCCTATGCAAAAAGCGAAATATTCACAAGCGATTTCTACATACTGTAAAGAGCAGCTAATGATAAAGCTACTGTATCTTTTTTCTCTATGCCTGTTTTTCTGGATTTGTTTTGGGAGTTGTTTTAGAAGACATGAAATTAACAGAGAATGCTTAAGTTCCCAAAAGTTTTATATGAGGATAAATTTCTCTTTATAGTTTTTCTTCTTTATAACTGCTATAAACGTCTCCTGATAATATTCTGTCTTAAATAAGGTTAAACATATTTATTGCATATTAATTTCAAAATATTTTTTGATTGGAGCCCAGTTTTCTTTGGTTCAAGTGTTAACATTGCAAGTAGTTTTACATGGCAGAACTGAAGTATCTGAGGACGGTGCCAATCCACTGGTTAGCAGCTTAAACAGAATGTTCTGAGGTTAATCTTTCACAAACAGTCCTGCTTGTGAGCCTGTTAATACAGAGCCTTACCACCAGCTCTGCATACATATTAGTCCTCTGCAGAGAAAATATATGTGTCTGCACAGAACTGCTATATTGGGAACACAGCTGTGTAAACAACATACATTTTGTGTAAATTGTTTTAAAATTGATATTGTATTTAATGTAATAAACCCCCAGAAGTTTTTGAAGCTGCTGCCTACTTTCTCATAGAATTGCATTTCTTTTTTTTCTTTCTTAATATTGTTTTTCCTTTCTTGAAAGAAAAAAAAAGTGTTTCTGGAAAGTCATTAACATACAAATTGTTTGTCCAGTAGATGAGGTAGACTTGTAATCAGAATATGGACATCTTAATTGTGTATATACACTGTACTTTGAGTAGTTTGATGTCATTAAAGATGACTGTCTGAATTACACCTTCTGATCCATCACCCTCTGCTAAGTAAGTAATCATTTAGGATATAGAAAATACCCTGGTGACATTCATTTTCTTTGATTATTAACTAGAAGTTTTTCCAGAGTTCCATATTATGCTTCTTTTTTCTGAACATCTTCCATCCTCTAGAATAATGTAAAATTTCAAGGTACATTCTTTCTTTGCAAATAGGCAGTATGAGACAAGTGTGATTGTTTGCTGTCATTAGCTCTTACTAGTTCCTTAACTTAGATTTTTATTTTTTTTAAGCTCTGGGGCCTTTTTCTTTGAAAGAAATGGAAATCAAAAAAAGGAACACTGAGCAAAATTGAAAATAACAACCCCAAGCCTATGCATGTTAATCATTGAACCGTGATTTGCTTTTTTTGACCTCTTTAAAGGTCAGTTTTCCTGTGGAAATAAGCACTGTGATGAGAAAGAAGGCCTGAAGAGCTGGGAGGTGAATTTTGGTTACGTTGAGCATGATGAAAAGAGAAATGCCCTTGTGAAATTGAGTAAGTCTGCTCTTCTTATGTTGGCCTTCAAGAATATGTAAACTTAAACAAAGACAAATATCTTGTACTTTAAAAGGTATAGCATGACACTCGATGATAATTATATTAGTATAAGCGAAATGGAAAATATGCTGCTATATAGGAGATCATTTTGTTATATTAATTACAGGTAGTATGATGGTCTTGGTTTGGAGAGAACGACTGCTATCATTACATATGACAAAGTTGTTACAGGTTTAGCACTTAATGTTGTATGATTTGGAATGTAATGGAATTAGAATACTTGATTATAAGCTATTATGTAAATAAGCTTGTTTGTTTTTAGTGGACAGTACTGAATTGCAAGATGAGTTTCATCACTGCCGCTGCCTAAGCTATGTGGCTTAGGAGTCCTTAGGGCTTTGGAACAGACAACTTTTGTCTTGTTGTCTTTCAGCTCAGTTACTTCTGTTTTTAATACTTACATTTTTTCCCCAAAATTTTAACTTAAATTAATTCCTTTCCATTCTCATCTCTTAAGTGCGATCTTCTTATTCGAGTACATGTTCATAAGCTCAATTAACCATATCAGAGAGTACCTATACTTTCTGTAAAAGAAACTAATGGCGTTTTTCTTTTGTCTGCAAAAAGCCACTCTGTTTGGCAGCATTTGCTCTTTGGAGAAGCTATAAGAGATTCATGGCTCTTCAGTATAATTGTAGAACAATCTGATCTGTCCACAAAGATCCATAAAATGTATTATCAGTACGCGATAAACACTGCTAGTTTCTTATGAAGAGTTATCAGAGCTAAACTTGTGATCTTCCTCCAAATTTATTAAACTCTAGATTTGTACTGAAGACTTTGAACATGTTATTTTTCTTATACGTGGCTGCAATTACAATGTTACTTTTATGTTGGAGGAAAAGTTAATAACATTTGAAGAAAGTGCTATATCTAGTTTTATAAATTTATTAATAAGTTTTGTTAAAATACAAGGCTGTAATGTTCTTCTTGTTCTCTTTTTTTTCAGGACTGTGTCCAGAATGTTCCTACAAACTTAACTTTCATCACCGGTAATGAAATATTTTGAAAATATGGGGACTGAATTATTAATAGGTTACATTTATGCTTAACTGAAAAATAGGGAAAAAATCTTCAGATAGACGGTTAGAAAATTTATGCTGAAATAGATTCTGTTCTGAAGTTCTTATGAAGTCACTGATTTGATATACTTGAGGGTGAGATATTTTTGCACTAACGAAAGTCCAAAAAAGCTATAAGAACTATAAAAATCCCCCTTCAAAGTTTCCTTACCATGGCTTTAGCTCAGTGATTATTTTTGTTTTCTGGAAGCTTATGCAAAACACTGTCTTTTCCATGTTCCTTGTTGCTTTGTGTGTAGATCTGGAAAATGTTTTTCTTTTCCTGCTCTAAAAAATAGTATTTTTATGTGTGAATCATGTAGCTGTGATTTGAAACTTTGAATTTGAGTAGTTGTTCTAGAGAATCACTCATTAATAGAGAAAACTAAAATAGAGAAAACTAAAAACTAAATTTTTAACCTATAAAATGTGTGCATTAAGTTTGATTTTTGTTTATTGTAATCTTACTATCAAATTATTCATATGCAGTTTGTATGGTTTTCTGGATCTTGATGCTGTTTTAGCTGTTCGTAGTTGCATGCCTCCATTGCTATAGTATCTGAGGAGCACAGGACAGGGAAACCTTGGAGTTATGAAACTATTATTTCTATTTCTATGTGGGTATATTCAAGAAAGTTAATTAAACCATTTTAAAAGTTAATTCTTATTAAATTTAATTAAAGCCCTAAGTGTAGATGAATATTCAGAATTAAGAAGGAGAAAAAATTAGGTTAGTTTGATTTGCCTTCTTTTTGGAACTGACATTTCAAAATCACTTTAGTTCTGAATAAGAATGATCAAACTTATTTTCTGTTTGTCAGTTTGAGGGAGTAATACTCCCTTTGAATCAATTTCCCTGACTGTTTTTGGCCAGACAAGCCTGAAAAAAATTGTCTGTTGTTACACAGTAAGCCCACATAAGTAATACGGAAAATAAAATACACAGATTATTGATCTGTGGTAGGTTCTTAGGCTTAAGATTCTTCTACCTCGGGTTTTATCGCTATCAGATAAGGAACTATACAAGAAATTGTAGTAACTGCATTTTTGTTATTACATGTGCACAAAACTAAGTTGCTACCTAAAAAATTTAAGATTTCAACCTATGTCAATATAAAGTGGGTACATGGTATAACATTATTTTCTGTATTTAACCTTTGATTGCCAGTTCAGTGTCATTTTAGCAGCTTTAGAATTTCCTGACCTTTGTCTTCAACTATATGCCTATAGTATTTCCATAACACTTTCAATTTTAAACTGCATTTTCAGCTAGTAAATAATTTTCAGAAAGAATGACAACTGTTTGACTCAATTAGATATCTAAGGTTTACTGTTGTTTGAGGAATACATATAATAGAGAAGATAAACATTCATTTTTTAAAGGAGGAAAGAAGTCAAGCCAAAGAAGAAAAGAGGCACAGCTGTATTGAACTCTAAAGAACCAAAAGTTAAGAAGACAAAATTATCTTGTTCAACAAAAAGCAAGTCCAAAAAAAAGACCCATAAAGGTAGATTTAAATTTTAAACCTTTTGTTGTGAAAATATTCAAAGAAACATGTTGGATGTTAGCTCTGCCATAGCTCTAGGTATATAAATGTATCTGGACTGTGTAACTCTGGTAGTGAAAAAAGGTAAGTTTCTTAGTTAAATAAAATCTCTGAGGTGTACAAAAAAGGTAAATTTGAAAAAAAAAACTTTTTTTTACAACGTACAGAAATGGGAGAGCCTTTCAAAAAATAGGAAAAATTGGAAGGAGCATTGGTCTAAGAATTGGGATGTTGCATGCCAGAAGGCGTTGTAAAGTATCTTGATTCTTTGAGGCTTTGGGGTTGAAAGCTTTCTGGTAATGTAAGATAACCATTTTTGCACCACAGATCTTGGGATAATGTATTTGAGCTTGAACTGATGACCTTTGAACTCATGCGAAAAAAAACAAAATTGCCTTTGCTTCAGTGTTTGCTGTCTTTGAATTAATGGTGTGTGCATGCATGTGCACATGCTTATGTGTACTATATTGTGATAAATATATCCTTGTAAACATTTTAAGAAAATGAGAAACACTAAGATAAGCTTTTTATTTTTTACATGTTTCTTTGTAGATCAGGTTTCTTCAGAAGATTCAGATAGTTCTGATAAAGGTAAAGTATTTGAATATCTTTTGCTTTGGTATATTTTTTCAATAAGTTATACCATATTCAATTGTCATTGGTTCTAGCTTTATTTACTAGCAGTGTTAATATTTGATAAAATGCTATGAAAGTTGTGTGAAAACAAGCAGAGATACGAAGAGTCAAAAAATAGTTACTTTTAAATTCTTGGAGATAAACTGTTAGGAATTTTCAGAAGGAAATCTTTCAAGCCTAAGGAAGGAAGAAAAATAGGATATAACGCAGTGGAAATAGAAAAATAAGGGGTCAGTTTGTTCAGGACAGAGTAGTGGGTGCAGAAGCAGGTACATTGTTAGTAATTGCCTGGGTCAAGGTATGCATATATGTGCTGTGTAATACTATGGAAAATACTTTTCTAATATATTAATAACTACTCTAATTCCTGTTGTGGAAGAGTACTAATATGCATGCTACCCACAATATTAAGAGGAGAGCACTGGGAGAAGACACCATACCAAATATATCCTATACTTTAACCAAAGTCTGTTCCAGTTACCACCCGAAGTACCTGGTACAGGTACAGTACAGGTAGAGACCTACCTGTTGCAGGTGGAAGAGATCAGAGTTTCAGTGACTCCTTAGTGGTGGTTATCCTTATATTGCACTAATTCCAGCCCCAGCGTCTTTTCTGATGAAACAGGCCCATCTCTTGATCCTACGAATTCTTGCTGCAGGCTATCTAGAAGGGCCTGAGTGTTTTTATTGATTGCTCTTCTGTGCTATATGTTTTTTGGAAAGTCCTCAAAACCTATTATTTCCCAGCCAGATGCAGGAAGTCCTAAAGTCTTATGACTCAAACCATATCTAAAGTCTCTGTCTTGTCAGGAAAGTTCTGTTTTTTCTCAAGTTTTTTCTCAAGTCAGGGCATGTTTCTAATAAAGGGACCTTTTTGCTTTGTCACTCCCTTGGTATACTTAAACTGAACAGTTATTCAGAAACCCATATTTTTTACAATTTCACTGATACATTACAGTTGATAAATTTTGTCATTCAAATGGAAGTAGAATAACTGATGCATTTAATACCACGATTTGAAATTGTATTACGGTTTTGGATATGTGATTATAAATCTTTAATTTTAGGAACAAAGTGCTATGTTGCTGTTGATATAAGGATCAGAGTTTTGTCATGATCCCTATTATGTTTGGCCTAGATATCAGTTAATGATATCTAAGAGTCATTTTGAGGTTGTATTGAATAACAGTTGGCAAATCTTTTCACTTTCACTTCATACAAAGTAAAGGGAGGGGGGTTGAGTCTTGTGGTTAGAATTAAATGTTGCTGCTAGCAAACAAGCACCTGGATGAAAAATGTGATAAATTCTTTCAAAATTAATTTCTTAGGCAGTTTAAATTTTTTAACAGATTCAGGTAACAGTGATGTGCAAGATGGTCCTTCAGATGCAGACTTTTGGAAAGGTCCTCTGCAAGAGCCAGATGAAAAATCACGGTTAGTTTGGTCAACTAGGAAATTTATATCTGGTAAAAGTTTGAATAATTATGACCATTCCGAACTGCAAAGGTAGAGACTTTTCCTGAATGTTTTAATGAATATTCTGACATGTAAGGTTATGTTAAATCGTCTTCCCTGTAGTGAATCTAAGAATATTCTTGTAAAAAGAGGAGACACACCGGAGAAAAAGCTGTGTCAAGCCGCTAACGTACTGCTGCCAAGATAGGTCACATATCTTAGAAGTAAATCCTAACAGTCAACTCCCTGCTGTTGCACAGAGGGATACGTGAAGGGTATGGGAACAGAGTGAACAAGTCAAAATGTTATATACTGGGTACACATTGTAACTGGGAATCTGCTGAACCTTTTTTGTACAAAAAATTAGCTCCTAATAGATCAAAAGCAGAACATTCTTTGACATATTTTTATTTTTTATAGGGAGGAGGAATTTGATGAGTATTTTCAAGACTTGTTTCTCTGAAACTTGAAATGGATGTAGGCTGATTTTCTTCCTGGCGCATCAAGATGAGTACCTGGAAATCCAGTCATATTTAAGGACCAGAGACTTTTTGCTTTCTACCAGTGTACCGTTTCTACAGTCACTCCATATGGACCATCTGGGTGGAGTATCTTTGTAGAAGGATTCAGGCCTAAAAACTTTCTTTTTCTTATTGTAGCCTGTATACTCATGGAATACAAGAAATAATCTGTTCAGTTGAGTGTAAAAGATATTGCACCCTAACTTAAAAAGAGGAAGGATGTAAACAAATAAGAATGTAGTTTATTGACAGTGCATCACAGAATTTGGCTGCTTTTTATTTTATCCCCAACTTTAGTTTTTGCCAGAGTTGTTTAAGAGAAGTTTTGGAAGAGTCTATTAGCAGTTTATAATCATAGACTTTAATGTATTAATATTTTTAATTTACTAAACAGGAGTTAATAGACTTAAATTTATTGGTCATGTGGTCTTTAATATTCAGATATTAGTCTGTGTAAGTATTTTTAAATGCTATTAGGGAAGTTCAGTTTTTAATCGAGTATGTCTTTCACTTGAATTAAGTAAATATCTGAAACGCCTTCCCTACTCCTTAGTCACCTTTAGTTCGTTATGACATTGTTTTATATTTTATTTATCATATGATATGACTAATAATCCCACTCATTAATAAAAATGCAGTTACCTGTTTAAATTTTTGATTTAATACATAAAACGTGTGGCTTGCTGCTGGAGATGTACACGTGGTTTGTTATCTGTGGTTTCTGATCTCCTTAGCATTGAATAAATGTTAATCCTTCCTTGAAGTGTAATCCTAAATATACAAGTAAAGAATGTATATTGCTTGAGAATCTTAGTGGGTTTATTTTCCTATTCAAATTGCAACACAACTTTAAACATTTTTTTGTATGTTTCCAAAGAAACAGTCTGCACATTAATAGTTACAGGGACCATTTTCTTTGTCAGATGAAAATTACTTTGGATATGAAGGACAAATTTGTTTTGAATTAAATGTTCATGTTAAACAATCTGAAGAAAGTTAATGTTGTATAAAATATATTTTTGATAAATACTTTCCACTGTAGATGTCACAATAAATATTTGATGTGGAAAAAGTAACAGTAGAGGTGGTTGCAGTGTATTTATGAACATATTATTACATGCAGTCACGTGAATATCAATAGAGAACTCTATTTACAAGTAATATTAATTACATTTTTAACAGTTTGTACTTACATAATAGATGACAGTACAAGGACGCATTTAGGGTGTCCTTGAGTAACAAATAAACGTAGGCTTGTACGAAGGCTTCTTTAGGTAAGAAGATGGATTTAAAGGTTAATTCTCTGTCATCTTGCAAGCATGGTTGAGAGCCAAATCCAATCTGCAACAATCTGCTTACATGCATGCAACTTGCCTGAAGGGGCCTTTGTAGAATGTGTTGCCGTATCTATTGCTGCAAGTATTGTACATTAGGCATGTGTTCTGAGTAACTAACTCCTCTTTGGGTCTTCAAAACACAGTTATAAAATGGTACAGTATACATATTAAATACATCATTTAATACAGTTTGAATAAAATTATATAATGAAACAACCTTGGAATAGCTTTCTTTTGTATCTACATGTAGTCCAGAAAATAATACATGATACCTATTATTTATGGCATTGTTAAGTTTGCATAAAAGATTTGGGCCAGTTATAGGTAAGGACATAATAAGTGGCAAACTTTTTGTGTCCTTTTTAAAATTTCTGTTGATAGCTGTGCAGTATGTGTGTAGAGCATTCTTAGAAGGGTGTATAGTAGGGCAAATCTTTCTCCCTTCTCCCTAGATGCTGAGAGTGATCCTTTTAGAGAAAAAAACTGTGTAGTTCTGCTCTTTTGCATTTGATATCCGTCTCCTTTTAGGAAGGCATGGGACTGGATCCGCTGAATGCTTAGATACATACTTAATATACTAGCCATTTTCCTTCCTTTATCTGTAGGAGGAGCCAGCTTCATGGGACCTTAGTAGTAGGTACGGAGTGCTCCCTGTCATTCTTCAAGGACAGAAGGTTTTTGTAGGAAGACATGTTCCTTACAAAGAGCTAATTTGCACGCAGTTGTGGAAAGGGAGATACGTGAATTCTGACATGGCCTACTTCTATCCTCTCCTTCCCAAAATTAAACTGATGCCTATTCATTGGTTTTCAAATACAGGAAAATTCTGTCCATTTATTGCATTTTAAAAGAGTGTATCATGGGTACATGCTCTTTTTAAAGCGGCATTGAATGTAGAGCCTGCTGTAGATACACTGGTATAGGTATCAATACATTCTCATTTAAATGATGCTTATGGCCTGCCTTTTTAGGTTTTTAAAAATAAAAGGCAGTCGGTTTAGGAACCACGGGCAGAGCCACTTGCACATGAACAAAGGAGTGGTTTCTCCAAGCTATGGATACAATTTACAGATTTATCCATGGTAGTTTTAGAAATAGACTGTGTACCATGGACCTGCTTCTTATAGAGATGAGCCAGGGAATTATTTTTAGCTCTCCTAAAATGAAATAAATGTTTACCTCTAGAATTGTATCTAGTATTGAGTAGTAAGGAAAAGGACACAATTCCATAAAATGGAAATACACATAATATAAAAATCTAAATACACAAGTTATGAAATCTGCAATTTTTTGATTTAATTTTGCATGTTAAGTTTCATTCAGTAATTTCATATAAGATCTATCAAAATTACTTATATTTTTCAGGACAGGGTGCAGAAGTTACATGTTTTAATGAAAATATTGTGTATAAATTGTGACATGAAATAAGATCGAGACCTCACAGTTAACTCATTTTTTCCTCTGTCTTTTGATTTTTCAGTTTTTAATTGTAGCTGTTTCTTTTACTCAATTAAAAATTATTTCCAGCAAATGGCAGATGTTTAAGAGGATTGTTCAGAGATTGATCTGTACTATTCTATGCCAAGCAGAAATCCACTGGGGCTCATTGAAGTTCTTTCTAGGTGTCTTTTCTGTAGCAGAAACAGTGTCTTTGAGATTATGTATCACAAAATTATACATGTTTTGGATTTTCCCTCATCTCCACCTCCGCCACCTCCTCCAGCTGCATTTTCAGCTAAAAAACAGAGAAGGAAAGGAATGTGAATATTTTCTGTTCATTTCAGTTGCTCTCCGTTTCTTTTTTCTTTCTTTCTTTTTTTCTTTTACAGGTGTTGCTTTTGTGATACAGATATTACGTGTGTTTGACCTTCTGAAAATTGAATGTTTGCACTACTTATCTAGGAAATCAGAATATGAAACAATGCACTGTATAAATACATATACACACATATATATATATACACACACACGTGTTGGAGCAGTTGATATCAACATTTTTGAAAGGACCAAACACACTCTGAACCACTCTTACTGGAAAGTTTCAGTAGTTATGTGAATTTAACTCTGTCCCACACATATAAAACTGAGGAACGCAAGCCATGCAAAGGAAATTAACTCCTGCATCAATATAATTCTTGAAACTATTTTTGAAGGAGAAGATAAACAAAAACTTTAATTTGACCTAATTGTATAGACTTTTAACCAACTCTGCATGAATCCCTTTGTAATTAACAATCAAGAGAGAGGTTTTTTTTGGTATGTTTTTTATCTGTAGCTACTGGTTCTGTTAATGTCTCTCTCAAATGATTCCACAGGTTATTATTGGTCATAGTTTGGATCTTTCAATGTAATAAATTGCGTTTCCAGGCTCATTTAAGGTAAGATACCAATATTAGAATTAAAACTTACATTTGAAAGCTGTGGATCACCATGTTACTAGGTCATTTTCGACCCTTTCCACCTGCATTGAAACATGTCACATGATCAGTGTCCTACCCTTTGTAATTTGTGGATATAATCAACACTATGTTATTAAATATATATATTATTTTCTTAGTATAATGCTGTACTCCTTTTTAGTTTCTGTTCTGAACTTTCCACTGTAGTGGTTCAGCAAATATGTTTATTTTGTTTTCTGTCTCCTGAATGGCTAAGAATAGCCAGGTCAGTGTGATCTAGAGAACTGAGCATGGTTCAGCATGTGTTATACTACTGTTTGTATTAAGTCACTTAACAAACCCCTATATTTACATGGCCTTGATTTGACAGTGTCAGATCTGTTCTTCACAAATGTGTATGGCCTCATCCAAATGCACATTTAAAAAGAACCAAAATGATTCACTTAGACTTTTGTAATATCAATTATGATATGCAAAGAAGGGCAGAACTTTTGCCCCCTTTTAAGTCAGTCTGTTCATGCTTGCCTGTGTAGCGTTTCTTGTGGGAAGGTAACTTCTTCCCCTAAGTCACAGGGACTTAGGTGATTCCAGTGATTTAAGATGGTCCTAACTTCCAGTGGGAGTGTAAGCACATGACTCTTCCTAAATGTATTATTTGTTATCATTTAGGAAGAACTTTATGCATAACAGAATAGGACTAGACTTCAAGTAACTATACTCTTTGTCAAGAAAGCAGATGTATAAGGAGGTTTATGAATAGGTCCTGGGTGTTTTTTTTTTCTCTCCTGGTATTTTTGTGAGTGCAGATGCTTACATTCCAGAGCAAGGAAAGAGTAGTTTGTTCATTTTCCCAGCCACCTTGTTCTCAGCAATAAATTAATCTTTAAGATGACTGTATGATTAATTAAAAAGTATCTCTAAAAATAAATTTGGGAGAAATGGGGTGGATGTAATTCCTGTGAAAGTGTGTAAGTGGTATAGAGTGCAAGCAGGCCAAAATTTTTCTTGTAATTTTATTGCAAATGACCTTTGTAGCCTTGTAAGAATAGGGAATGCTGCATGTTTGGAAGATAATGGTGAATTTGGCATGATAAAGTACAATGTGTTTTAAACTTTTGAAGACTTATCTGGACAATAATTGATTCACTTTAGACTTCTTTCAAAAATTGGTTTGTGAATAAATCATGTACCTTCATGCTTTTAACCACTTTGCAACAGTATTTTTTGAATTTAGGCCTAATATCATTTGTTTTAGGAGTCAAGAACTCTGTAGATCTTCTCCAAAATCTGACAATAACTTCATGCGTGGCCTTGAGTAACCTCCCTTCTGTGTGCAGTGTGAAGAATACTCACCTATTTCCCACAGACACCAATTAACAAATAAATTAGGTTTTTTTATATTTTAAAAATGTGAAACACACTATTAACCTAACTTCTCCAAACTAGAGCTAACAATAAATCACTCTGTAGAAATCATGCATGTTTTTGTTTTAATCTCTGAACCTTTTCAGGCATTTCAGCTGATTAGCAGACCTGTTGATCTAAAATTCCAAATGCAATATAGATTCAAAGTAAGGGACTTGTTTCACTCTTACAGTTGAGTGATAGGTTCTCAGTTTCTACTGAATCAGATTTTCTTCCAGGTCATCACATGCAAAACCATACTTTTAATTTTAGAACTCTGGCTGTCTTAGGAAGATTAGTGTTAAATTTGCACTTTGTGAGAGAAATTTTTTTTAGCCTAGAAACTGATGGTAGGAATAACAACCAAAAGCTTTATCCTAAGCTTGGAAGAGGAGTGAGGATATCCACCGCTTTCTATGTTCCAAAAGCAAACTATCCATTCCCATCCATATGCTTGATGATTTTCATTTTCAAGCAAAGCAAAGCATCTTAATATACTTGAGGCCAATGCCACACAGAATTGCTGCATTTTTTGTGTTTCAGGCGATTGTAGCATTCATAGAAAAATAGGTGTTTTATTATGTTTAAGCCTTAAGACACAATAAATTTTACATTCCCTTCATCTTTGTTATGATCATATTTTCTATAATACAGCAGTTTTGCAAATGAGGTCAGTGTACTGGATTTATATAATCTTGAACAGTTACTCCTCTTCCAACTGAAGATAAAGCTAATCTGGCTAAATCAGAACTCGCATGTCATTAGTGTAAAGTTTAATAGAATACTGCACAAGCATTGACAGTGCACTGAATGTGTGAATTTCAGAGAGAAAAAAATATGCTGACTGCGTTATATAGATGAAAACCATAAAAGTTATTTAACCTTTTTTGGCAGCTGCTTCTTCTTCCTTTTTCTTTTGTTCCTCAATAATTTTCATCTTCTCTTCATATTCATCAGCTCGTGTTTTCCATTCAACCCTGTTGTTTTGAAGACCATCAAACATAGGTGTGATTTCCTTGTGAAACCTTGAGAATTCCTATACAAACAATTTAAATCAGTAAATTAGAAATTTGTAAAGACTGATCTGTAAATTCTGAATTTGTGGAAATACTGCTCCTATGCAAGAAAACATTTCCTTCAGTATGTGTACCAGATGAATTAATTTTAGTTTCATTTTTTCGCAAGCACTTGATCTGTCTCCCGTAATGGATTTTCTCTGTAAAAGTCACAAAAAAAAGTGCTAGTATCTGCTGGTGTGCATTCCAGAGCATGTTCTTTGCCATGCAACAGTGGCATATCAGTGAAATTTCTGTGTTGGAATAATAATGCTGTATCGAGTATACAGTCTGTTAGTTAGAAAAGGTCTGCATTATATAATATAAAATTTTAATATCTTCCCTAATCCTCCATATTTGATAGTCTGGTTCACATAACACAGTTGTCACTGTGATACACTGTATCTATCATATTATTATCGGTATCAATTATATAACATATAATGATATTAAAGTCTAGTATCTTCTAGTAACATCATATTCCAAGCAGCCAAGGATGCTCCTGAAGATGTTTAAATAGTACATCTCACTTTACCTCATGATATTTTGGGATAACAGTAAAAGCTAGACAGGGATTACTAGTGTTGGCATTTCAGTGCTTTCCAGAAGGCATAGAATATCTGTACTTCCTGAATAATTGCAAGTTTCCTATTCCCTGTGCTGTGCCATTGTTTTCATTGATTACTGAAAACATCCACATATTGCATGCCTCATATTAAATGGGACTGTGAAGAATGGGGCTTTTTAACTCAATCTTTCAAAACAGTAAGAGAAGTTGGAGAGCCCTCAAGTTTCACTGTGATCTCCACTTTATAGAGTCTCCTGAATTTGCTCTGCTGGACCCAATATTCCTAAATAACAAAAGATTAAAAATTATGGCTCTTGTGATAGTTGTTTACCCAATAACCAAGAGTCTCACTGATGTCTAGAGTTTACCTGCAACTTTAGTTTGTCACTAATAGTGCCATCAGACTTACTGCAAAGGGAAAACCAAAACATTTATTCTTACCTTGTACACAAATGTGCACACAAAATCTATGAAACCAACTTGGAGCTTAGGTAGTTCATCTCCTTTGTTTCTGTCCATCATAGGCTAGAACAGAATAGTAGTAATTTACTGTAGATATCATGCTTTTTGGTATAGCAATATAGGAATCATAACAGACCAATATCTAGTCAGTATTTTTAATAACAGGTAATATTGCTTAACACAGATAAATTATTTAGTACTTACAATTGGTTGTTGCTGTAGTACTGTCCGTTCCAGGTCACCTTGCTCCCAGAATTCATTTGCAACCATGAGGGCAACCTAAAAAAAAAAAATCACAATTTGAGTGTAATTCAATGGAAATTTAAGCAGAAAGCAGTCAATTCAAACAGAAATAAAGCAAAGAAAAAAAGTCTTCCAAAAAATGTTGATTAACTGAGAACTGGCACATCAACGTACTCTCAATTTACAGTTAACTATTGTTACTAACTTCTGTCCCACAGAAAGACAACATATTTATTGCCAGCTTCTCTGAGTAGCTTAAGGAGTTCTCCAGAAAGAGAGCGCTCTGGTCAAAAACAATAAAATTCCACTCTTCAATCCCTGCAGAGATAGTCATGCAGTTCTTTCCAAACTTGCAGACACTCTGGTGTACTGTAAGGCCTTTTGCAGCAAATAACTATCCTCTACCACTTTGCAAATTTGGTGCATGCTGACTAAATGATAGATTATTGACAATAGTAACCAGACAATATCAGCAACATAACAGAATCTTCTAATACCTACTATGTATACTGCCTAGAATGCTCCACAAGCATCTTGCAGCTGTTGCAATTCTGCATTATTAAAACTTATACCTGTAAGGCTAATTGATGAGCTTGAGTGTGATGGTCAATAAGTTCTGAAGTATTTGAAGTATTTATGTACAAAGCAGTGCCACACTGCATTATAGAATTTATTTTAGCATGATTAAGCTACCTTGAAATGGAACCAGGTTGCGCAGAATGGACACAGTTAATTAAAATTATGCTGCTGTTAAAGCAGCATAAAAAATAAATACCCCAACAACAGCAAAAATCAAGCAACACAAAAATGAAAGTGAGCAGCATTTAAGGGTAGCTAGAATGGATGACACAAGCCAGGAGACTAGTTTTGGCTGATTGACAAGTAGAGAAAGGTGGAACAAATGTGGAGTTGGCTGGGGAGAGGCACTGTGGAGCCGCTACACTTACACTGACAACAAAATAGAGGTTGTTTTCAGAATCACAGTTAGGTTCAAATAGTTAAATATCTAATAAATGACAATATGTAGAGTTTTTATTTGAATAATCATGCACCAAACAGGCAATACAACAAATAAAATATGCAGTATTGTCTGTTTGAAAAGTACCTACCTTACTTTGCACTTCCCAAGGCTTGGTTATAGCAGACAAGTCACATCCAGTCATCATCATAGCCCTTTGTAAAAGCAAAACAAAACAGGCATATAGTTAGGATGATGAAAGAAAAAAATAGGATCCAGATTTTTTAAGGAATTGAAACAGCTAAGATGCAGACGGGTGCAGATTTTGAAAAGCCTGTAGCCATCTAGTTCCAATCCAAAATCAGGGTTAAGCTCATCGTTTTTTGACAGCAACACCGATTCTTACTTTATATGTCTAGGTGCCCAAATGCTTTTCAAATCCAGTCCTTGGTAACTGACTGAATAAAATGTAATAGATTAACCACCTACATGATAACTTCTTTTTTGGTTGGGTCAATAGATATATATTTAATTGCCTCCTCTTCCGTTTCCATCTTTTCAATTGCATCCACAATCTTTTGAAACATAGTTCTTTTCCTGTTAAAACATACCAATACACCATACATTAGTGAACAAAAAATCCTGCATTAAAAATAAAATAGAAAAACATATTTCCCACATTTTTGCTTCTCCACAGTAGTATCCTAGTCATGGCATTATCAAAGTGACACCTTCTTCCCATTGAACTTAAAGATAAGTTTTTCAGTTAACCTAACCATTTAGATTTTGCCATAGATTGCTGATATATGAAGTATTATGTCAAGGTTCCATACGAAGAAAGAGAGGACAGATTTCCTAACTCTTCATATTACGCTGTTTTGTGCGGACATTCTTCTTTCTTTAGGATCACATATTTTGCTTTGTAATAATTCCTGTAAGGTAATGAAGTGGAAACAGTGAAACAAGTTCTAATTACGTGCTTCCCCCTACCTCACCCCTGAAACCTTAAGGGGCACTATGACCTGACTAAGAAGAACTAAGAAAAACATAAATGTGTCTCGCTATTGCTTAATAGATCTCTTTATTTTGCATTTAGAGTGAATTAAATATGGAGCTACTGTTCATTGAAATTTCATATCTGCAGTTGAAAAACTTAGCAAATTGTTTTCTATCTCCTGACTTTAAATCATCCCAGTCATAAGACATTTGGACAAATTAAAAAAGCTTCCATATATCACTAAGGAAAATACCCATTAGAAAAGTATGTTAAGTCAGTGATTTAGGAACAGGGTGGATGATTTGATCTTTGGAGTCCTTAGCATATTTAGCACTGGGATCAGTTAATGTTTGTAGTCTCGTTTTTACACCAACAGCTTAGTTTCCATGGCATAAGCGTACTCATGTTTAGTATGAGTAGTTGTAGCATGGTACAAAAAACATCACACATGCACACACAACCTCACGATCACATTACAGAATCTGCATTTCTAAAATACAGTTTGCTGTAAAGAAAAAAAGCATATTTGAATGACCTACTAAATGAATGCTAAGTGTTAGAGACATGTATGTGTTCTGAAGTTTGAAAGCTTATATCTTGCTTTTTACAAGAATGAGGCTTATTTAATAACAATTTTAAATGGAGCTCCGTACTCTGTTTATCGCAAGTCAATACAACAGTTGTAAATTGTATAGGGTTGACCTTTTTTCAGTAGGGAACTATACAGAATTTAGTACTTACTTGAAATACAATGCCAAGTCTGTTGCTATTATTGCAACTTCAAATAAATGTAGAACAGTTTCAAACTGTCGCTTATTCAGGTTCTGGAAGATGTTTAAACTCTGAAAGATGGAAAGTTTACACATTCAATTCCTCTTATAAAACTAGCTTTGATTTGTACTATACAGGCTGTCCCATAGAATAGTATAACAAAACTGCATACATGGCCAACTACTGTCCCTGTATCAATATAAAACACTATGAATTAAAAATTCTTCAATTGCCACAGGCGGCCCTTATTCACAAGGGCAGTTCACATGCACCAATATTTCTGTGAATTAGGCCTGCAGAAATGTCCGATACTGAGCTCCAAATGCAAACTAGTAAATCACCACATCGTACGATTTTCCGCAGCAGTGTCACATGCACTAATCAAATTTTAGTGTCTGAAAAAATGGATGGGTAAAATACAATATTCATAGGTATATAATATAAAAAAAAACTTCTCTGTGGCAGCAGCTGATCCTGGAAGAATTACTTAAGACCGCTGTAATTTTATCTTAGTCTTGCAGATTAAGGGAGAAGAGAAAGGTATAGTTTTGTCTTTGCCGTCGAGATTAAGAGGATCAGGAAAGAAGGGCAGCGCACAGCGCTCCTCTGCGCTGCCAGACCTGCGGCCACCTTCGCCTCTGAGGGTGGAGGAAGACGGCCAGCGTTGCCGTCCAGCAGCAGCGCTGCACAAGTGAGAGCAAGGGCCTACCTACAGTACAGCCTCCTGGCAGGAACAAGGGTAGCCAAAGCACTATTTTGTCTGGGGCCCCCACAGATGACTGAAATACAGAAAGTTTTGGGTCCCCACATCCTAACAGACTGGATTACAGCACACTGCTAGTAAAACTGTGTTTCTCATGCCCTGTGTGCCCACTCAGGGAGCCAGGCTACAGCCCCTACCAAGCTGCAAGAAGTACTCCTTTTAAGAGGGAAAAATGGAAAAACTTACTGCAAAAGAAGGGATGGACCCAGCTAGCAGCCAGCACAGAAAACAGTGGTGAGGCCAGGAAGGAGCCCTGCACTGACAGCAGGATAGCACCAGAATAAAAGACCAAATAACTGTGCAAACTGCACATGGCTCTGAGGCACCATCCCCAGAGACCACACAGATAGCTATGCCCACACTGCCTCAAAAGGAGGCAAGTCACCTATTGCTATAAATAAAGCCCAAATTAAAACCAAACAGATTCACCTGTACTCCATGTAATTAATAAAGGAGCGGCAGCTCCTCCCTGTTTTTTATGGGTTATGTCTGTATGTGTGACAAGTCCTCTGGAGTAGTGCTCTCGCCCTGCTGTTTGCCTGGCTCAGTGCAACTGGCTGCAGCGCTAGTAGGAGCCAGCTGCTTACTCAGACACTGGGAAGCCCTTCAGGTTTTATCACCTCTTTAATTTATACTACAACGTCTGTCTCCTGCAAAAGGAACGGCAGTATCACACCCAGCATTTTTCTAAGTCTCCTGGTTTTCCTTCCTCCTTTAGCTGAGGAGGCAACTAGGTGCGAGAGCAGGGGACCTCGGGATACCACTGCTCCGCCGATAGGCCCAGGCTTTGCACATTAAAAAAACTACAATGCCACCATGAGTAGACAGGTAAACAAACATTTTGTATGTTTTAAAAAATCATAAATCTTCTGTTTTGTTTATGGTCACTGTGCTACATATGGATTTATTCTGATTACACCCTCCTGAGGTCAGGAAACAGCATATCTGCAGGGACTAGAAAATGAAAAATGGAGGCAGAAGCAGGTGCCTGCAGGGCCCCTGCCGCAGGCCGGGAGCGGGACGCCTTGCAGGCGCCTTCCAGCCTCGGCTGTTAAGTCTCTTTGCATTATCTCCCAGCAAACTATGGGCTAGGTGTTGTAAATAACCTGTTCCCTTTGCGCAGCAGCAGGGCTGGGTGCGGGCGAGGCAGGGAGGGCAGAGCCCGGCCAGGCGGGCAGCAGCACTCAGGGGCTCCCCACCCCCGCGGCCACCATTTTCCTCAGCCCCAGGTGCCACGGTGGGGAATTTCACCTCAACTGCTCCTGGAGAAGGGTGGCTGAGGCAGGGGCAACGGGGCCCATCTGGGAGCACAAGGAAGCACCTGAGAGGTACCTGTGCCCCCCACGGTGGGGGAGCAGGGGTAGGAAATGGGCCAGGGGCAGCATGGAGAACCGGGGGAGGCGGTGAGGGCGGCAGAAGGGAAGGCTGCGAGGAGAAGGCCTCCTGCTGACACCAGAGAGGATCAGTAAGGGACACTGCAGCAGAGCCTCACGGTGCTGCTGTGTGTGTCTGAGCGAGGTCAGGTGTCCGTGTGGGGCCTGGCCGGGGGTGAGGGGAGCCTGGTGACCCAGCTGCAGCCCGTTCCTCACCAGCTGCTGAGGCAGCTGCCTTCAGCCCTCCCGAATGAAGGGGCAGTAGTTGATCACAACAGCTTTTCTTTTCTGCTGTGGTTTCAGCATTAGCTGCTCTGTGAGGGTAGGAAGAGAGTGTGTGTCTGGCCTAGAGGACAGGCTTTTTTTGTCTTGAATGAGGCTATTTTTGGCAGATATGCAGAGGTTTCTCTGAAAGTGCACAGCACACCACTGCCCCAAGCGCGTAAGCATTTAGTTTACACTCATGAATTTGAACATAACTTCTTCATTTGGACCTAGAGGAATGAATGAAAGCTGGAGAAACTTGGAAGGCCATAACTGCATTGGAGCTTCTGTACTGATCAGTGTTAACCAGAGAGTCACGTGTACGCACCTCATCCTGCAGTAGGGTTTTGCTGTATTCTAGATGGTGTCTTTCTAAAATGGATGAGCCGTGAAGTTTTGCCAGTGGAGCAGCTGACCTGTTGAAAAAGCAGCAGTTGTTCATAGCATTTCAGAGGCAGTGTTTTTTTTTAACTCATGGTGAAATTTGTTAGGATTAAAATGCTTCCGATTTGTATGTTTGATAGTTTACTGTATCGTTATTAACCACTGGCATGAAGCAGAGCAGGAAAACTCGTTTGCCTTCACTGTTGTGGTTGTGAAATGACAGAAATTAGCACTGGGTGTTCAGTGCCCACTGAAAGTCAAAATAGTGGTTCTTAAAAACTGTGTTTTTGAAAACACAGCTGTTCTAGCTTTAGTTTTTCCTGTTTGGTTAATCCACGCACCTTCTGCGTATTTGAAAAGCAGCCTTTTTCTAGCTGTTAGTATTCATTGTGCGGCTTGGCTTTCAAACTCGTCTGTCTCTAATGAATGTGAACCGTGCCCCTCGTGTTTCTAACTACGGTTTCTTAAATCTAAAGTAATGATATAATGCAGTTTAATTCCTCTAATGCTCTTCGGTTCTCTCTCTCTCAAAAAAAAAAAAAAAGAAAACAGAAACCACAGTTTTATGGACTGTGTAAGTTGTGACAGTTCAGCTGTATCGAGTTTATCACAGAGCTCGGAAACCCTTCCTCTGACCTGGGGTTGAGCTTCAAGCAGAAGTAATTGCGCTTGAGGCTACAGTACTAGGAGGAAGGGAGAAGTGTCCTGTCCACACTTTAGTTGGTTCTGAATCTTCAGAAGTGTATTTTCCTCCTTTCTTCCCCTAGCTAGTAAGTCAGTTTCTGAAGTAACCCAGAAGGATTGCTCTATGCTCCCATTAGTTCCCTGCCTCGTGATTAAGGCTGTAGTGGCCTTAATCACAGCCTGATAACATTTATTAATAGCTTTACTGTGTCTGACCTCACACAGAGGGCTTTCAGCAAGGAAAGACCACAGTAGGAAGACTTAAAGCTCCCTTAAAGTTATTTGGACGAGAGGCAGTCAGCTGAATAAGAATAGGCACCTCTCATTCTCTTACGTCACCTGGAGAATCCCTGACAATAATCAGAAAATCCCTGAGCGTCACTGCTCCAGCATGTGATCTGAAACTCCTCTCCTGGGAGGAGTGTGTCTAGGGGCAGAGGAGGAGAATGAACCATCCTGGAGATGCACTCGATGGGAAACAGTGCTAAGAAAATTATGGTTATAATCCTTTGACACGTAAAACAGTCTGAGAAACTTATGTTGTCCGGCTAGCACTTAGAAAGAAGCCCTTTCAAATCACATGAAAGACTAAACGGTAGATTGACCACTCTTCAGGAGATGAGTGGGTTTCACCACGATGCATAATTGTACAGGTAAGTTTAAAATAAAATGAATTCATGTTGGGTTATGACAAACGTACTAACAACAAAAACACAAATACTTTAAGGTACTTTGCATACTCAGAATAAAAAGGAACATGAGTTGCAAAGCTTAACCTCGTGATGCGTGTAGCTTGCTGGCGTTTAGACCCTTGGCAGAATGCAAGCTCTTTAGTTCAGAATCCTCTGTAACATGTGAGGAGACTTGTATCTCAGGAAAGGATCTACATAAATCAGTAAATTGAATGGAGAAACAACAGAGCTAGCTGATTCAGCCAGCAGGAAACTGAGAGAAAGAATGCATTCTTTCTAAATCCTGTCTCCCTCTGAATTGCCTTTTGTCTATTTAAGTTCCACATATTGACTCCCTCTCCAGGAAAGTGCTTATGCTGTCTTCAAAAGAGTAAATGCATTTAGGGACTTTCTACTCCTTTTATTTAAGCTCCTTTTGAGCTACCACTAGACCAGTAAGAGAGCAAACACAAGTTTCTTTTGCATCCTGCCGCTTAAGGCAGTCAGCTAATCCATATGGAACTGTCTTCTGCATACTTAGGCTGCGTATAAATCTTGATGCTGTTTTCTTTTGAACAGTTTTAAAATTAACTTTTTATCTCCTAGTAGTTAGTGCAGCAGACACAGATGTTTTTTAAGTTTCCACCATAACTGCTGCCGCCTCTTCCTCTTTGGCCTCCTTGCTATTCATTTAAAAATTCCTTCCTCTAAAAACATTAGAGGCAATATTATTGCTTGTCCTTTGGATCGTAGCATGTCACAGTCTTCTCATATTGCTTCACTGAATTCCTCTTACAGCATATGGAGCTGTTTTCAGACTGGGAAGAGGCTTTTTTGACTTTATTATTTGGGTACTCTCTGAGCCCTTTGTGGAATGCTGGAAAGGTCTGCCATGAACTCGAAACAATCCTGTACCAGGTACAGGCTTTTAGGCATGCTGAAAGCTATGAAAGAACAGAATGGGAGTGAGAATTGCACCTGAGGCTTTAATTTGGCTCCATTAGAGCCAATGTGAGTTTGTCACTGGCTACTGGAGGCAGATCTGGGGAAGGAGACCTTGCAGGTGCTACACAATGTCACCTGCCCCTCAGATGTTGTAGCCTTCTGTGCTCCCACTCACTGCCAGAGTGTTGGCTTCACTATCCGTTTAATTCACTTTTCTCATTTCTCTGTGGCCTAGTGTGCATGAGGCACCATTACAATCCAAGGACAACAAGAGCTTAGTCTCTCTCAGAAATGAATTACAGTCAGGAGCTCCCTCTGAGTTATTCTGCTTTTGCATTTTGTCTTTGTGTTCTAGCAGTAATGACAAGTGCTCTGTGGCACAGAAATCTCGATTCCTTTCTCTTCTGTAGGATAAGTATTTATTCATGCTAGTCGGATAGGGAATATATATATCTTATTTTTTGCAGGTAATGACATTGGTTTTTTCATTGACTACTATAAATACCAAATGGCCATAAATTTTGGTATTTGCACTTACTTCATTTGATACAAATTATTGGTCCCTCTGTGATCAATGTCATGGCAGAAGGCAGCAGCCACCATGGCAAAGGCTTCTAGATCAGTATAATATTTCTTTATTTTGCCTGTCTGTAAAAGAAAATAGACAATTCTGAGTGTAGGCCTGCCTGAATTTTGTAATAGGGGTTGAAAGGAAAGCTGAATACTGAGTGCAAGTTTAATACCAGCAAACTTACCATTAGCAAAGTAAACATTGTCTGTCCTACATTGAATCCATGTCGCCAGTTGTGGTAAGTGATATCCCGGTAACCCTTTCTGACTGTGTACATCCATCGTGTAAGTACCTGTTATGAATACAAGTGGTTGAGACTGTGCTGTTAACTGAAACAAAACGCTGGAATGTCTTAAAAAAAAAAACAAACCCAAAACACCTATTGTTTTCATCTGTGAAAAGAATTGCTTTCCATTAAATTAAACATGGAAACAGCAAACTGTTTGTATGGATAATTTTTATCCATATTACTAATTCTTTAGTGTAGCACACTTCTATATTGAAGTACCTACAGTCAGCTATTTTTCCGCTATCTTGAAAGAAAAATAAGTAAGACAGAATAAATCAGACCTCTGCTGGAACTTTGAACTTTTCAACAACGTTTATCTCGAAGAACAGCCGTATTCCACAAGTTATCAAGCCGTGCTCTGTAACAGGGAAGTCACTGAAGCGGAATTCATAAAGTTCTAAATCTTTTGGATCAGGTAATTCTTCTCTCTGTTAGGAAAAATCACAACTACAAGAGTTTTTCTGGCAAGAAAAAAGTTGGAATGATCTTTTTCTTTTTTTTTTTTTCCTCCTGACTTCACTGGGAACATCACCTAAGGAGAGCATGCTTATTCTATCTTCAAAGGTCTCAAGTTTCAGTACGAAGTAATATGTATTAAGTTATGAAACACACTGATGATCACTGCTGGTTTTCTTCTCAAAGAGAATAGGTAAAAATCTTTCCCAGCTGGTGTTTCTCCCTGCCATGAATTCCAACAAGTTCCTATGCTGAACACCTGAGTGTTTCCATCATTAGGAAGTCCTAGGCCTTGGAGTTTCTCCTACCAGTGATAAAATGTCACGATTCTTCCCCTTTTAGCCTAATCTCAAGGCTGCAGTTAATCTTTTTCGTGGCTAAAATTATTCAGCAAGCCCTACCGTTCTTGGTAAGTGGTATTCTTCTTTGGGATCTTAGGAATAGCAATAGGTACAGGGACCAAAAATAACCTTAGAATAAAATATTGTTTACTTCTTTTAAAAGTAGAAGAAAGTATAAGCACTTAATCATTTTTAAAATAGAAGACATGTTTACATGCTCATCTACGTATAGCCTTGTCTTCTTTTGGAGAGACTATGTAGGCAAGGAAAGATTCCTGTAGATTGTTTTAACCTCTGCAGGGGTGGTGTTTTTTTCTGCTCCATAGCCACCTCCCACAATTAGTCTATCTTTCCCTGCCTCCCATGAAATTCTCTCTTTATATGCGTGGTAGCCTTTTTACACTTAATGGAGAAAGCTGAAAGGATGATTTGGGACATGGAAAGTGGACTGGAAAATCCTGCAAGATCGGATGTAACAATGCACAGTTAATAGTCTGACTGGTTTCAGGTGTCTGTGTTCTGGTTTGCCTGCTTGTGGTAGATTCTTCCCTGCTTGGCTCCTGAATTAAGTCAGTATATGCATTACATAGTCGTTTTTTACTGCTATGGTTGGTGGTGATTCTGTGTGAGCTGTGTCCTTTCTGTAGTTTAAAGCAGCCTGTTCTAAACAGTCCTGACTGCTGATGAAAATGAGAGACCACTTCCGAAACAGTGGCCAGCGTTAAGTGTACGTTCTTTTCCCCACGCACTGGACTTTATAGTGCTGGCTGGATGCCATTCAGGGATTTTTCTCACTCTGAAGGGCAGATAGAGAGCTCAGGCCAGCTCTTCCTTGCACTGAAGACCCTCCAGAAAGCATATACTAAATTCTAAAATTCACAGTATACAAAAGTTAAGAACCTTGTATTAAATTTAATTTGCCTCTTTTGTATATACTGCACGGATGCACATAGAATAGCCTAACTGGTAATAGTAATACTCATAAGCTCTTCCATAATACTTTTCATCTGTACATCTCAAAGCCTGAGGAAAGCAGCATTGTAATTTAAATGATGTGCCCCACTCAAAACAAGAATTAAATCAGGGAAGTCTGATGCAATACAGAACTTAGATTGTATGACTGCAGTGATTCCCTTATGTATGTATTTCAACAAATAAGGCTGAACATGCAACAGCGTTTCCTTCTCACCTAGCAGAATTTTCTGTGTAAATTTACTCTGATCTGAGGTTGAGGTCAAAGTCAAGGAAGCCTGGAGCAGTGGTGTTTTAAGACCTATTACTTTGTGAATCATCAGATCTAGAAACACCTGCTTTATCCCATTAGCTAGTTGGGATTCCAGGCCTTCTAATAGGATAAAGCGTTTCCATGCACCCATGGCACTACAGGAGCTATTAGATCTTTACATTTGTGACATCACAATGTATAGAGAATTCATTTCAATTGCTTTCTGGAGACTAAAAAAAAATCTATACCAGTTTTTTGTTTTGTTTTTTATTTGGAGGGCTGCACTATAATTATGAATTGTTGCTCTGCAAGTGGATAGATTTTAAAATGTTTATCTATTAATTGTTGCAATTTTTCATAGAACTAAAATAGACTTTAAAAGATACGTGAAGCTACAAAGGGTCTGTTGTTTTTTGGGTTCACAGCTTGTAAGCTGTGTGAGCATCTCTTTTGTGGGATCCGGTAAAACTTTAACACCATTGCACTCTGACATGCACTTATACGTGGTCAAAAGTAGTTTAATGAGATCTTCTCATTATGGCTATGTCTACATTAACAAATGTGAGGCAATAAGAGTAAATATGTGGAATGCTTGGTCCTGGGTCTCAGCATCCATGCTATGTGTGTTTTGAGGGTTTCTCTTTGGCCTAGGTCTGTTTTGGTCCTGTGCACTAATTGTCCATTAACAGTGGGAATATAATCAGTGCTTTCCGGGAAAGCATCTTTGTTTTGTTTCAGCCAAAGTAAGCCAGTGCATGTGCTCCAGAGCGGCTCCACGAGCAAAAGCAAAGTGCAGCAAGTGGCCCACATAGGAGCTTTGCTTCAAAAGCGCACTCCGTTTCCAAACTGACATACTAATGCAGCCAAAGGACTGCACACTCTGGAGAAAGAAAGAGTCTCATTTTTGTTTGAATAGTGGCAGAGTTCTAAACGACCAAGTCAAATCTGCTTCGACATTGTGAAGTCTCTGATCGTTGCTTTTGGGCTCCTCCGCCCACGGAAACTCAGGAAAATTAATCTGAAAGTAAATATCTTCCATTGGACACTCTTGTGTGTGTTCTCTTAAATCAGAGTGAAAGCGTACTTATGTTAATATACCTTCTTTTATTTTCAAAACGAAGTAAAATTAATTATAGCTATTTTAATTCTGAATAGCACTGTCTACATGGCTGTTTAATGCAGTTTAACACTTTAAATACTAATTCGTATCAACTTTTCTGCATATTTCTGGCTAACTAAATGCTGACAGATACTTGGGAAGGAATGTTTCCTTGTAGCTAATAGGGACGACTGCACATGAGAGAAACTAAGAAATTGAAGACATATTATTAAGCTAACTCCATCTGGCTTGTACTCGTCACTGTATTAAACAGGATTTGGCTGCATACAACTTCTACTACAATGAAGACCCAGTATTATCTGCCACTGGGAGTTCAAATTTTCAATGTAATGACTTACCAGAATCCTGATAAGATCCTTTTCATCACAGTCTTCTATACTCTTTGCATTTAATTTCTCTTTGTATTTCTAAAAATGAAAATTAACGTTAAATTCACTTAACGTGTTTCTGTGCAGCAAATTTCCTACTTCGGTCCTGTGGCTCTGGACAGAAACTCACCAGTATAGATTCAACTTCAGTAGGGGTGGCCTTTGTCTGGTACATGAGCATTTCCTGAGCAATGTCTTTCCTGTTTTCAAGCTTATTCATTTTGTCGTAAGTGTCAGTATTTAAAACAGACCACCCCAGGAACTGTGTGAGAGTCTGGAACAAAGCCAAGAAAAGTGGAGTTGATACCATGACAATAAAGTTAAACTGACAATTTTAACTTTCTTTAAACTCCAGTTTATGGTAATACCCTTTTAAAAGCATCATGTAACTCTACCTGTTAGTGGCATTTGACTTGCATCAGCAGGGCCTCTTAGCACCTTGCTGCTTTTAATGCCACTATATGTCTCAACCTATGTAGTTAAGGGCCCATATTCTCATTTTGTATACAAGAATTTGAGGCTTATGAAGGTTAAGTTAGTTGGGTGGACTTGGATGTGCTATGTATCTTGCTCAGGTGCATGTGATTGGTCTCTGAGCAATCACGATCGCAGCCGTCATGTCCATTGGTAAGCAGTGTGCCATCCTTGCATACCCAATTGTGTTAATTAGGAGATATTGGCTGTCAGTAAAAAAAGTGATTAAAAATATCTGACTTTTTTCCATCATTGGAACATAAGGATCTCTCATTATTTTGCTTTCTAAACCTGAAGATTAAAATTCTGATTCTTAAACTATATAGTTAAGAAGGTAGAAGACTTTTGGTTAGATGTTAACAAAGCCTACTAGAAAAATTTTAGACGTTTTTAAACTGTTTTTTACAATAATTACATTTTGATTAACATACGACTACTTAAAGCCTCTTATCTTATTAAGCTTACTTCAATGATCTGTTCATCATATTCATCAAAAGGTTTTCCATCTTTCCTATTATAAAATGTAGCAACTCCCACAATTTCTTCCTTTTTGTTGACAATAGGCAGTGACAGGACATTTTTGATTTTCCATCCAGTCTCATCCACAGGTCCTTTCTGTAGGAAAGACAAAGAACAGGAAATGTTGCATTTTTCTTTAAAAGTAGTGGTACAGCTATTAAAATAACTAAATGTTAGGTCCTGTGAATCACCAAAAAAAATGAAAATTATATATGTAATCAACTGTATAACTAATTGGTGGAAAGCAAGAGCATATTTTTCTACAATATTTACATCTATTAACATTACTGGTATTACCTGAAATGTGAAATATTCATCTGCTGGTGCATTCATCATGTTACAAATCTGCAGTAAAAAGAAAAGAAAAAGATACATTGTTTAAACGGAATATAACATGCCCCAGGACTTGGCCAGATATTTTAAAAAGGCAAATATATTTTCTAAGGAAAAAATAGTGAGCAACCTAATTAGCTACAGAAATCAAAATTGTTGCTTTAAAATTAAAGTGGTTATTCTGACAGATGTCATTCTGGAGTGCTTATAGCAAACTGCGTCTTGCATGATGTCACACAGTTAAGAAAACTGCTTCTATGCCAATTTAAAATGGCATGGGGATTTATAGAAAGAGATAATTAAGTACTCTGTCAGAAGAACTGCACAAAATAACACTTGTAATTTTTATTTTTGTTGTGAACTTACAAATCCATTTTCAGCAACGTATGTTGGCAATCCACTGGCAAGACACCAGTGATCTGCTGGAGGTGACCTTTAGAGAGAGAATAAAATTAAATGATTTCTACAGATACAGACCTGTTATTCTCTCCCAGCAACACATCTAATTATCACATATTTGCAGGCTGCCAGTGAATACTCACGGAATGACTTTGATTTCTTCTTTTCCATGTAAAATATAGTCAATAATCTTGTAGAAGTTAACTTCCTACATGAAAAGAGGAAAAACATGTAGGTGACCTGTACAACCTCAATGTCAAAATTGAGGTTCATAAAAAGAAAAAATAATATCCTCACTCTTCCATCAGGTGTCTTGGGGCCTTTGTAAGGCTCTGCCTCCCCCAGCCTGATTGGCCATTCATCGTAGAACTCCTGAGAAAGCGATACGTACGCGTTAGCAGAAGAAAACAAAGCAGTGCTGTATTCATAGGTAACCTGAAGTCTGTGGCTAGTAGTTTTATTTTTCCTCCTCCATGGCTGTATTATGGTCACATCTCAGGCAAGGCTAAGCAAATATTGTTAAATACGTTCCAGACAAGAAACACTACCCAGTAAATCGAAGGCTTCTGTGAACCTTATCCCTGGAAGGTTGTACACCTTAATCTTTGTTTTAGAAGGTAGATAACCAGACTGCAGTTCTCTGTTCTTCCCTTCTTCACTTGGAGTTTTTCATGTGAAAAAATGAGTTCAGAATCAACTTTTGTATTTATTGTGGACATATGCTTTGCCATGCTTATATTTCACATGTAATTTGTGTGACTCAGTTGAGTTTTGTATAGATTGTCCTAAAAGGTTAAAAAGCATGGTATCCTTATGTCTTGGAGAAGTACACCAGAAATACCCAGAACAGATGAATTAAGTAATCAGAAGGACTGATTTTATAACTTAAAGTTAGGAGTTAACCCATTTCTAGGAAATAGGTACAACTCTTACCTTCTCTTTAGTCATGTCCAGCAGACCAACAGAGTACCTCTCACAGTTCAGATACATTCGAATAGTATACAGTGCTTTGTGAAACTGCCGTTCTATATCTGTTAGCTCTTCAAATACTTTGTTGGCAGACCACAAAAGCATCTATTTAGAACAAAAGAGAAAGAGGGTAAAAGTTCACAAAGGTAAAATGCATTTTGAATGAAAATATAACCATATGAATCCTAGACATTCCAAGATACGAGAATAAAGTGCATTACTGTAAAAAGGTAAATAGATGATATCCTTATTTCAATAAACTTATGAGAATGTAACATAGTGGAAATAATAACGATTTCAGACAAAAAAAAAAAGTATAATTGTTTACAAATTCTTCTTTACCTGACTTCGTCGGGATTCAATATTGTAGAGATATGATGTATGATGATTTCTTAGGACAAAAGATATAAAATTCAGGTATTTATTAAAGACCTAAAAATGACAATGAACAAAAGCGAGACAAAGTATTAAGCCACGATGTAGATTCATTCAGACTAGTCGTTAAAGTAACAGTTGTGCTCTTATTTAGTGTTTGAAGTTATTACCTCTTCATCCTCTTTTGAGAATGCAGCGGCATTTAGTTTGTTGAGTGCCATCACAACAGCAAGCACCTCTTTGCCCTGCATAATTGGGGTTGCCAACATATTGAGTGTTGTATAACCAGTTTTTTTGTCCAGAAAATCAGAAAAATGGTTATTCTGGGGGGGGAAAAAAAAAGAAACAAACCACAAATGAAACCCACCATAGCCAGTTACCATGCCAAGAGCAAATGATCACTGTATTTATTACTTATGTTCACAACGCTATGAGCACAGTTTCACAGTGCAGTAGATTCGTACTCCTGAAAAGCATTGACTATTTAACCCAGTCTTGCTACATGTACACACTTAACTTAAGCATTAATGATGAATACAGCTCCTGGAACCAAGTTCTGTGCAGGGGTTTATTAGAATGATGACAAATTTAGAGAAATAAAAATTTGAGAAGAGCTAGAATAAAGGAGAGAATAATGTGACCTTGTGGCTACCTGATACTGTAATGCATAGACTTGCATGTAAGAGAATTATTTTGTAGCTATGTTAGTATTTACTATTATAATTTAATTATTTCTGTAGCTAGAAGTAATGATATTATGCTATTATGCAATGTTAAAAACTGTATGTAGGATCATTTACAAACAGTCCTGAAGGTATATGGCTGAAAATGCTTCAGAGAGATATCTGCAGTAGATATGCATCTGGCTGAGCCTTGTCCTATTCCTCCTTCTTGACAATTACCTGTTTCGGCAGCTCCCAGCCTGACATGTCCTCCTAGTGAATAGGAGGATGTAGAACAGGGAGGGGTTCAGGGTTGCTTTTGTTGTGGGGTGTGATCTTGTGGGACAGACCATGTAATCAATAAGCCACAACTAACTCTCCAATTGCTTACCCTTGAAACTGAGTGCTGAGGAGGAATTTGGTAAAAGGTATTCTCTTTCTTCATTCTTTTATTTAAAAATTCTTGGGAAGCTAGTTCATCTGTTTCATGGAAAAATGTTTCATTTTTTCGTATCGAAGAAATCCTTGAGACATTTTCTTTGAAATTCTAGTGTTTCCTTTATTTTCAAAAATGGATTTGAAAATTGTCAGGGAAATCTATTTGTCAAGGGTGGTTGTGCTGCTTGTTATTCTGTGAAAATGCGTTTACATTTATCTGAGTTATGAGTTGGGGAATGGAAATCTGTCAACATATGTGTACTCAAAAATGACACAGTTCTTCTAAGCTGCTGAAATCGCCAGAGTCTGTCTTCGGTGGGCCTTTTGCATGCCCTCACAGCTGCCACTTTTTACAAGTCAGTGCACGGACCTCTTCAGAGGGATGAACTCTGTAGTCCTGGACTACAGTCAGTGGACGACTCTCTTTGAATTTCCTTTAAAAGGTCTGCTTCTGGTTTCTCAAGGTGATTAGCTAATGGTATTAAATGAGTACCAAGATATGGTGATTGGGACCTGGTAACCAGGGAAGCTTAGACTGGATTGTAACACCAGAAGCAGCTATGGCAGCTGGCCAGAGGGAGGCAAAACGAGTCATATTTTAAGACCATCCACCCAGAACCAGGATTCCCACGCTTTACCACTCCTCTGCTGCTAGCAAATATTTCTTAACCCACTTGTAAAGTGTCTGACCCCAGCTAATGCATTTCTATTTCCAGAGCTGACACCTACTATGCTGTTAATTACTACATTAGCTTGGGCAGCCAAGATCTATGTGATGGATCTCAAGGCTTCCTCCTTGCTGATGGACTGTATGGTGTTGCGAGATGCCACATAACAGAATTTCTGCTTTTTAAAATATAGAAAATTATACACAAAGCTGCTTCAGGAAAAAAAAACATTTTCTGGGTTGTAAAATCAATCACGAAAAGGCTAGCAAATGCCAGAACTGATTATCTAGTTTTTGAATCTTTCCTCTAATTTTTTTTCCCTTCTTTTCTCTTTAACAATTTTTTTATTGCATGTGTTGAATTTATAGCATATATAATCCTGAGAAGGTAGATTGGATTTTATTCAGAGTTCAGAATGTGTTTTTTTCCCCTTTAGCTCTTGATAATCTTTTGGCAGCTCGTCTCTTTTATTTACATTGTTGAGTCTTAGAAGGAAATCTGAGGAATCTGCATTTCTGGGAAAGGAGTGAAAAACACGGAAGTAACTCTGCAATGTCTTTTCTATATTTACCAGTTGGGCTCTATTACAGAGTATTAATTCTTTTGAGGAGAGCCTGTGTCATCTCCATAAATCGAGTTGAGAAGAATAAAAATAAGCAATATGTTTCCTGTATAGTTCCATGTATCAGGCTGTATTTGGGTCCCTGGAAAATGTAGCTGATTCCAAATACATTGCTTTATATTGTTTGGGTGAGGATAGGATGATTTCTTTTTTTCTGTCAAACTTTCACTGAGTTGCCGTTTTCTCTTTTTCTAGGAGAAAGGTGTAGGGATATCTCAGGAAACAGATATCTAGGAAAAATGCCAGTCAAGTCATCTTTTCTACATGGGAAGCAAGTACTGCCCTGTAGTCTTCTAAACAAATCTGAGGTATTACATAGAAATATTTGAGTTTCTCTGAGATAAATTATCTAGAGACACAATCATTCTGCCTTCGGGGTGTTCTCTGGGGGGCTTCAGTGATATTTTCTGAATCTCTGAGTGTTCCAGCCACTTCAAATAAAGGAAATAGAGAATGTGACCCTGTTTTGTAGCCCCTCTGGCCCATCTACAGCATCTAGCATATGGTGAGGCCCAGGTCTTGTTTTTAGAGCTCTATACGCTGTTTTGAGGGGACAAAAGAAAAATTTCAGACACTCTTGAATAGAGATTCAATGCCTCAAAAGAACTTGTATCACATGAAGTGAACTGAATCAGCAGGACTCAATTGCTGAGTTTTAATTTGTTTAATAACTGCAGGCTGAAGGTAGAAGTAGTGGTGTTTGGGAAGGAGCACTTTGGTCATATGAGTTATGCAGAGGATAGGAAAAAAATTAAAAGAATACAAATGCATGTTAATAAACAAAAGGTTAGTGAACTGCGCCAACCTGAGTTGTGCCTAGATAATGCAGATATAAATACTTTGTTACACACTGCTAGCATCCCCATAATGTATGCAGAAACTTCTATTGCACGTGAGTTGCATATGCAACCAAAAGCTTGCGTGTAGATTTTGACTTTTCATTACTGAATATTTGGCACATAATTGCTGAGGGGTTTGAAGCCTGTATTTCCGATCAAGGTTTTAAAATATGTTTTTCTCAGGAACACAAGCTCCTTTTGATTTCAATGCAAATCACTTTTGCATAATATATGGAGAATCACGGTCATAGACCAATAAGCTAGAGACTTGCTCTGCAGTACCAGAGCCAGAGAAGAACCCTGGTACTCCTATGAAGACCGTTAGTCTATTTGAGCCTGATCTTAAGAATCCAACCATCTTTTAGAGTGATGCTGTGAACTTGCAGTTCCCGGTTAAATCATATAACTGACTTTTAGAGGGAAAGGGGATTTTTGAATAACTACTTAACTCCAGACAACAAATCCAAATCTATTTAATAAGGCAGTCAGACTATACTGTGAGGTATTAATAGCTAGAGGAAAAGATGAAGAGAAGATTGTGTATATGTTCTAAGTGAGCCCACTGCAATATTAGTGCACCTCATTAATTAGTACAATCTTTTGTAATCATACTGTGCTAGAGTGCATGCTGGTCATGCCAGCTAGCAGAATGCATACATGCTGTGGGATGTCTAGGATTGTAGAAAACAGCAGCAGGATGTTATAGAATTGTAATGTATAGGACACTGTCCCCCAGAATTGTCTTCATTGCGTAGGTGTAACTCACTGCTGTATCTTTGTTAGCTTTTTGGTAAATTTAGGCTCTAGGTTCTTATACCCAGATTAACTCCTGTATATTTGTAAGCCTTTCCTTTTAAAGCTAAGGTATATAGCCTTTCACTGTACCACAATCAATTCTGTAGATATTTCATAAGATATATGTCCTAGAATTGCACTAAGCTGACACCAGCATACTGGAATGGAAAATCAAGGCCCCCCCTCCATGCTCATCTTTCTGTTATTGGTGAGAGGATAACTTGAGAGGATTTTGAGGGGTTACTATGGATCTAGCTAGTAGACTTGAAATGCGTAGCTGATTCAGTTTTCTTGGTTTCTACTCCATGATACCAGTTTTATCTTGCTGTAACTTACCAGCATGACTATGCATAAAATTATAAACCTTTTACCAATGAAATTTCAATATAATGCTCTGTGTTTAGGACTTTTGGCCTCAACTTCTCAGTTGCTTTAGGTTCTACGAGCCTAATTTGCATCCTGTAACTACCACTGGAAATTACAAAATCAGAAGTCACTGTTGTGAAAACAATGTGATTATACCTCTCTGAAAGAGGAAAATCAGGCCATCCTTTCCAAAAAATAATTTATTTTATTTTCCTTACTATGGCTGTTACAAATATGAAGTGAACATATATATTTAAAATCCAGCTTGCTTACTGAAACTATCATCACATCTGATTCCGAATTGTAGCTACACAACTGTTTAAGTTCTTGTCCATAATAACGTAAAATAAATATAAAGGAGAAGAAGTCAGGCCCCAGGAAAATACAGGTATTTTGAGAAGAAAACTGATTTTAACAGGTAGACTACATGAGTAACTTTACGAGTGTGCTGATTATTTTTGAAAAAATCAGTGTTACTTTAAGAATTGCTTCTGAAAAGTTCTTACTGCCTGGACTTTCTAGAGGGGGGAACCATCTTGTGTCTTTCTTGTCTCATGGTTCTCCTTTTAGATCTCAGCTCCCTTCTTAGAGTGAGTTCCCTTCTTTTGTTCTTGTTTGGTTTCCTGTAACTATCTTGAAAGGCCTTGTTTCTTTCATGATGAATTCTGTTTCATTTGCTGGCTTTAGATATCCCACAACCTTTTAAGTGAACTGTGAAAAAGAGCTCTGCACAATTTTCTAACCTTTCATAGGCTTTCTCATTAAATATGCCAAACTTAAAAAAACAACGAAGACTATCGTTCTAATGTTCATTCAACCATTCTCTACAGTACGTAATAAAGGAAGTGCATTTCCCCGTTCATAATGTTACCTTAGGATTTGCTACGCTATCCTCCAGAACGCTGAGCTGAGTCTTTAGCATTTCTGATTGGA